CCACACCGCCCAAGGGTGGTGACGGGAGCAATAAGAAAACCAAACACGCGCTACCCGTTGACTTCCGGAAGGGCCCGGTCCCCGTCGCCAAGGAGCAGGAAGTGACAAATGTCGCTGATGTGCAACAAATCTTTCTCTGCGAAATTGCTCCCGAGGTTGCCACAACAGTTTCCTCTAAGAACTGCAGTGTCAGGGAGCAGGAAGCACCAGTCGCTGACGTGCAACAAATCTCACTCCGCGAGGCTGCCCCCGACCCTGCCCCCGCCCCTGCCCCCGCGCCCCCTCTGAGTGCAAAGCGGTCTGGAAGGAGCGGCCGGCCCCGCCATCAGTCCCAGCCCCAACGCCAGGCAGATGACCAAAGCGAACAGACGTCCACGTGCACTTTCAAGTGCTCTTTTATTCGTGCTAAACGAAACCCTGCAAATGCTGTCAGATATAAACACGTAAACAACGGAGCTCCTGCTGGCCAGCCTGCGGAGGCCCTGCCAGAGGTAGAAATGGATACATTTCTGGAGGCTCTGTGGCAATATCATCAGAAGTCTTAAATCTTCTGTAGAGTCTTCGACCCAGTGTGTTTGTTGTCTTTTCGCTGCTGTAACAAATTATCGAAAAGCTAGTGTTTCAAAACAATACAAAGGTATTAGTTCAAGGTTCTGGCGATCAGAAGCTCCCGGCCACAGTCAAGGTGTGGGGCTGCCTGAGCTTCTGCCCCAGGCTCCAGGGAGGAATCTGTGTTCTTGCCTTCTCCAGTTTCTAGGGGCTGCCCGAGTTCGGCGGGTCGCAGCTGCCTTCCTCCACCTCCAAAGCCAGCAATGGCCAGAATTTCTCACCATGAGGTCCCTAACTCTCTCTTCCGCTTTTAAGGATCCTTGTGATTACACTGGGCCCACCCAGTTCATCTAAAATGATCTCCCATTCTTTTTTTCTTTTTTTTTTGAACTTTCTAATGTACCTGTTGGCCGGACCCACTGGTCCTCTGTTTCTGCTTTATTTGACTTTTAGAGAGATGGGAAGGGAGAGAGAAAGCCAGGGAGTGAGACACCCGCTGGTTGCCCCCAACCAGGGCCCTGGCCCGCAACCCAGGCACGTGCCCTGACCGGGAATTGAACTGGCGTCCCTTTGGTTTGCAGGATGGCACTCAACGTACTGAGCCACACCGGCCAGGGCATGATCGCCCATGCTTCAGGTCACCTAATAGGCAGCCTTAACTCCATCTGCTACCTAACTTCTGTTTTGCCATATTCACAGGCCCCGGGGCGTATGGGGTGGACAACTTTGGGAGGCTTTCATCTGCCTACCGCACCCAGAGAGTCTCTTGCTAGGTATTTATGATCAAGAAAATGACTATGGCTGTGTAGCAGTAGTGAGCGGTGTGTCTCCAGGCTGTCATGAAACACGGTGGTGGACAAGACTAATGACATAGTAAGCAATTATTTAAAAGTTGGCACAACATGATTCAGCTTTCGTAATACTTGTGGCTATTTCTCCATCTATCTAGAATATAAATATGAGCTAGCAAGACATACCCTACCTAGAGCATAGATAGAAGCTAGGGAGATATATTCTAAAACTGAAAGATATATTCTAAAAGCCCCTTTCTTCTGTTACTGCTTTTTCTAGGTCTTCAATTCGACATTGAATAAATAGATGATTATCTTCGATCTCTGTGATTAAACTGAGCTTTAAAAATGTGCAGAATACCGACTGTGTGTCCGAGATCTCTGGGAGTGGGGTGAGTTTTATTTTCACAATGTTACTGTTTTCTAAAATCCCCACGATAAGCATATTGCTTCTGTCATAAGAAAAATTTATGTATTTTGTTTTTCTTCTATCGTTTAGCATGTGGTCTTTGAGACGGGGGCAAATATGCATTTTCACTCGAGGTCACACCCAGGACCCAGTCTCCGGTACAGTCACCAACCCACGGACTGCTGTCTGGGGAACAGGGGCCCTCTCTGTCCCCTCCCCACCCCCACCTAGAGCAGGACTTGGTTCCATAAACATTTGCTGAACTGGCCCTGGCTGGCGTAGCTCAGTGGATTGAGCACAGGCTGCGAACCAAAGTGTCACAGGTTCGATTCTCAGTCAGGGCACATGCCTGGGTTGCAGGCCATGACCCCCAGCCACTGCACATTGATGTTTCTCTCTCTCTCTATCTTTCTCCCTCCCTTCCCTCTCTAAAAATAAATAAATAAAATCTTAAAAAAAAACATTTGCTGAACTGAGAGGTTCCAAACTGGGGTCCCATTTTCCCTTCACCCCCCACACGGGGTTAGCATCGTAGGGCTTATCTAAATGACAGAGCAAGTTATTTCATTTTTCACTGTCTCCCTTTGGGGGGATGAGCCCTCTGATCCTTGGGTTGACCGGAGCTGCCCTGGGTGCATTTGCAGGCTGTGACAGGGCTGGCTCTTCCTCAAGAGTTGAGGTTTGGTACACCAGTCCCAGCTCCGTGTCCCCATCTGCCACCTGAGTACCACTCTGCCCCCAGCCCGGGACTGGCAAGGGTAGTAACAACCCAATAATAACAACAACGATAATGCCAGATTCACAAGAGTCCTTTCAGGCTGGCCTCTTCGTTATCCCTGTGCACAGATGACAGATCAGACTCAGAGAGGACCGGCAAGCGACCCCCCACCCAGTGACCCCCAGCCCCAAGGCCGCGCAGCTAGTAAATGGCGGCGAAGTCATTCAAACCCATCTCACCAGCTCTGAAGTCCAAGTTTGCCAGCACTGCCCGGCACCGTTTCTTGGAAACAGGTGTTTAGAAAATAGTAATTAACTCTTACTGAGTGCTCACTAAGTACCAAGGGCACACATTTATCAATTTGCTTAAGTCCTGGCTGGCGTGGCTCGGTGGATTGAACACTGGTCTGTAAACCAAAGGGTCACTGGTTCAGTTCCCAGCCAGGGCACATGCCAGGGTTACAGGCCAGGTCCCCAGTAGGGGGTGTGTGAGAGGCAACCACACATCGATCTTTTTTCTCCCTCCCTTCCCCTTTTTTATTAGGAATAAATAAAATCTTTAAAAAAGAAAAACTTACTTAATCATCCTAACCGCCCATTTTACAGAGGAGACACCAAGAAAAACAAAAGCTAAGTGGATTGCTAAGGTCCGCAGCTGGGAAGGGCAAGGCCTGGATTTGAACCCAGGGGCTGGAGCCAGAGCCCGTCCCCCGCCCCCAGACAGAGAAGTAGGGTGTTCCCTCTTCACACACACAGACGAAGGAATGTGCGAGGGGACGCTGGAAGCCGTGTGACCACCAGCCTCCGCGAGAGACCTCGGCCCCTCGCTCTTCCGCTCTGGGCCTCCCTGTGCCGGCCTGCACAGCGAGCCGGCTCAGACCAGACGGTGTCGGTGGTTCTCCGGCTCCGGAAGGGGCCCCTGCCTTGCGGCCTCAGTCTCTCCACCTGCCATCTGAGGCGACAGGATGCACCTGACCTCTCAGGCCCTTCCCAGCCCCGTGGGCCTGTGCAGATGGCACCCTCTCTGTGTCCTCGGCCCTGGGCCCAGGAGTTCCCAGGGACAGACTCCCCGCCTGCCAGGGAGATAGCACGTCATTGGCCTGTTCTATAAGGGAGAAGCTGGGGTCAGAAAGGGAAGGTGTCGTGGTTGAGGTCCCCTGGCAGTGCGTGCGTGACAGAGCTGGGCCTGGAACCTCGTCCCTGGCACCAGACGGCCCCCACCCCTGGGCTACCCTGTCCCCGGAAAAGTCCCCACTCTGGGTTTGCTGGGTGCCCTGCCAGGGGCGAGCCCCTCCCCAGACGGTCCCCGGGGCTGAGTCTTGGGCCCTCCCTGCTCCGTCCTTCAGAAGGTTGTTCAGCGGCACACACCGTGGGCAGCGCTGGGGAGCCCCCCCCCCCGCACCCCCTCCGGTGCCCAGGCGGGGCTCTCTGGGGCAGCTTTCCACCGAAGAACCGAAGAACCGCACCACCTCCAGACCTCCAGCCCACCCACCTTGTGCCCCCATGGATGGCCGTGGCCCACGTCACTTGTGGCGGGACACTCGGCCTCACTCCGGGGGGGATTCTTTTGTGGGGAAAAACCAAGTGGCACAGAACCGATGCTGCTGGCCTGCAGGATTTTGGGGGTGCATGCAGGTGGGCTTTCTGCGCGAGAGCCCAGAAAGGACATTCCGAAGTCCGCCTGGTGGCCTTTTTTTGGTTGCTATGGCGTTAGGGCTTTGCCGCCAGGGCAGACAGGGCACACGGGCAGGGGCCAGGCCAGCCGTCACCCTCCTGGAGAAGGACCTGTGGCACCTGGAGGACCCCGCGTCAGCTCCGCCACCGGGAGCCACTTCCCTGTGCTTCCCTTTAAAAACAAAACCAGGCGCAGGGACCAGAGCCTGCCCCTCTCCCTCCCTGTCACCCATCTGTCAGCCTGGCTGTCGTCTGGCTGTCTCTCCTGGAGGAATTCTGGAGGGGCGCTGCTGCCTGGAGCCGCCTGGAGGTGGGCTGGGAGGGGTGGTGTGCATGGGGGGGGTAGGTGCATGCACCCTAGAAGCTTCAGAATGTGGCGCTTTTTGGGGAAGAGAACTTCAGGCCAGGCGAGCGGAGAAGACCTCTGAGTCTTTTGGTCAAGACAGGGACCGTGTTGGGGCGTGGGTGTGGGGGGTGGCGGAGGGACGAGGGTGGAGCTGGGGGATCACCCGTCTCAGAGTCGCTCCCCGGACCCCTGCGGAGGAATTTGTACATGGAGTGGGGGGAGGGGGGTGCTAACCCCTCCATCGGCACCTCCCCACACACTTGCGCGGGGATTAACAACAACAAAACACCGAAGTTTCCCGCTCCTTAAAATGTGGGTGGGAAGGCGACACCCTCTCTTCTGCCCCCTCTCCCCGCCCCCCGCCGCCAGCCGGACTCCGCGCAGGACCCCCTCCCAGCCCGCAGCCCGAGGGGCGGGGAGGAGGGGCAGGAGGAGAGGCCGGGCGAGGTTCGCTTCAAGAAGGGGCGTGTGGCCGGAGCAGCTCGTGTTCTAGCAACTTGGGAGAGAGCGCGGAGGCAGAGGAGGGGAGGGAGGAAAGTTGGTTCCCCCGACGTCAGCGCGGGCGGGCCGGGTGGCCACGGAGCCGGGAGGCGGCCGGAGCCGGGCAGAGTGCGGGGCGGCGGGGCGCGCAGGCTGCGACCCCGCCGGCGACCCGGCCGGCGACCTCGGGGCGGCTCGCGGGCATGGACAGCGCGGCCGCCGCCTTCGCCGTGGACAAGCCGGCGCTGGGCCCGGGACCGCCGCCGCCCTCCGCCCTGGGGCCCGGCGACTGCGCCCAGGCGCGCAAGAACTTCACGGTGAGCCACCTCCTGGACCTGGAGGAGGTGGCCGCGGCCGGGCGGCTGGCGGCGCGTCCCGCGGGGGCCGAGACGCGGGAGGGCGCGGCGCGGGAACCGTCCGGGGGCAGCAGCGGCAGCGAGGCGGCGCCGCAGGACGGTGAGTGAGGGCCTGGCGGGCGTGGCCCGGGGGCGTGGGAGCGGAACGCGGGGTCCCGGGCTCTCAGGGGGGCCGAGGCCGGGGGCCCGCGGGGCCCAAGGAGCGCGCACGCGGCAGGCAAAGACGCGGGGCGCGCGGGCCGCCGGATGCGAGGCTGCGAAGGAAACGGGCGCTGGTGGACACGCTGCGTGTGGCAGGACCTCCGGGGGGAGTGCACGCGCCCCGCGTGCGTGCGCCGTGGGTCTGGCTGCCCCGCGGCCACAGTGGAGACTGTCTTTCATGGTGGGATGGGGCGCAGTGACCCCAGCTCTCCACCGGGGAGGGGCCGCTCTTTGGCCTTAGTCACCCCGAGTCGTAGCGCGGCCGGGCAGGAGGAGGGCGGCTGCCTTTGGGGCCAGCCCCGGAGCGGCCCTGGCGGCCCCTGCCCCCAAGCAGCCTGGGAAAGTGGGTGTGATGACACAGTGGGGGAAACTGAGGCTTCCGGGGAGCACGGAGACCAAGCCTCAGCGCTGGCTTTCCAACCCTGCGCCCTCCCTCTGAGCCGCCTCCCGAGCTGCACTCGGTCTTCTTAAGGCCGGGGTTGCAGCCTGCGCCCCGGGGGCGCCTGCGCGCCGGGGGCCTGCCCCCACTCCGGGCCGCCCGCTGGCGCTGGCGGTTTCCTAGGTGGAATGTCCCAGCGCTCAAGAGCCAGCTAGGCCTCGGTTTTTTTTTTCCTGATAAGGTTAAAGGTCATCAGGAAGGGGCTTTAAAAACAAACAACCCACCCAAGTGGCTTTTTTCAAAATAAGTGACCCTGGTTGGAAGGGTCCTCGGTAAGACGTGGGAGTGGCAGCGGCGACAGGAAAGGAAGATACGGCCAGGGTCCGGCTCCGGGCAGTTTCATGGAGCTGGGGGCACCCAAGTCCCCACTGCTCACCCGCACCCTGAGGAGGAGGTGGGGTGGTCCGAGACCCCTGTGCCCGTCCCCGAGTGCTCTGGAGCACAGGCTGGCCTGCAGGACGTTCTGGGCCCTTTAAGAGTCACCCACCACCAGACTCCAGCAGCCTTCCCACCTGGCCCCCCCCCCCACCCCCACTTCCTGCACCAGCTTCCCGGTCTCATGGGGAGCCCCGCTGGCTGGCGGCATGCCCTGCGCCTCGGATGACAGGAGGTGCGGGGCCCCCTGTGCAGCCTGCAGCTTGTCTGAAGCCCCCCCAGGGGCATGTGCATATGGGGTGGTGGGGGGCGGGGGAGTTGTATCTGACATGTGCCTGCAGCTCAGGGAGCACCCGGCGGGTGCCGGCCGTGTCCAGCGGCCACTGGCTCCCTCTCGGTGGCATTCGCTGCCCACCAGCCACAGCGGGCCGACACCTCTCTTCACCCTGTGGAGTGAACGTCGAGTGGGCAGGCCCGCCGTGGGAGTGGGGAGTCTGGTTTAGGCCAGGGGTGAAGTGGGGTGCCCTCTGGTGCGGGAGGGGGAGCCCTGCCATCCTCAGTGGGTCCTGGGATCTCAGGTCTCACGGGAGGAGCCGCTGGCCTCTGACTTGCCCCTGGTGATGAGGTGGGGGGCCCCCGGGGGAGTGAAGAGGAGGGCGCACTGAAGGGGAAGCCAGAAGGGAGGGGGGGAGGGGAGGGGAGGGGAGGAGAGCAGAGAGGGGCGCAGGGGCGGTCGCAGGGAAGGCGGGAGGCCTGGCCGTGAGGATGGACAGTGGGAGGGTCTGCTTCTCCTGGGCACGTTGCAGGCGGTCTCCGATGGAGGGGTTTCCTGGGGGAAATGGCTGGGGTTAGCTGGGGACACGTGGGTGTGTGGATGGGGCCACGGCGGCCCCCAGCTATCAGGGTGGGTCACGGCCCCCTCAGCAGCCCCAGGGCCGGGCCACTCTCGGTGAGGGCCTGGGGGGCTCTCGGGCCTCTCCCTGAGCAAGGGCTTGGGTGCACTGGGAACACCCAGGTGTTGGGGACAGGGGACAACTGGGTGTGGGGTCAGGTGAGACAGGCCGGAGGGCAGCGGTCCGCCTGCCCCCAGAGGTGAGGGGCCATGGGCAGAGCTGCTGGGTCAACCAGAGGCGCACATCCTGCCCTGGTGAGCCCTGCCCAGCTCTGCCCGCGGGGCACTCCTGGACCGTGGGGCCATTCTCCGGGCCTCCGCGCACGGGAGCGGCCCGGGGAACGCGGGGACTTGTTCCGGAAGCTGCACGTTCCTGTTTAAAGGACACTTGTGTATGTGGGATCACATGGTCCCTGCTCATTTTTTGGTGTTAAAAACATACTTTTTATGAAATGGGGATAATAACTGGAGATTGTGTTATGCGAATGCCTTTCCGTGGCAGAGTTAAAAGGAGGTAACTCTACACTCGTGCAAATCACCAGCCCATGAAATCCAAATGTTTGGTGTAGAGTCAGGCACCTCCCGAGGCCAACTGCGTGCATTCCAGGGGGCGCCTGCTGCCAGGAGAGAGACCCTGGGGCAGGGCCGGGGTGCCCCGGGCCTGTGAGAGTCCCTGGCTGGCTCCCTGGGTCTGGGCCTGGAGACCGAAGGCGGCCCAGGAGAGGCCAGCTTCCTGCAGCCCTTCCTTCTCCTTCCCTCCCAGGAGCCCCTCATCCCCTCTCCTGCCACTGGCTGAATCCGCCAGACAAGATGTCTCCAAAGGTGGGGGAGAAGGGACCTCATCCTGGTGAGCCCAGCCCGCGCCACTGGACCCAAAGCAGGCAGCCAACCCTTTGGGGCACCTGCCAGGGCCCTGGACCCCAGGCCAGCAGGCGTGGGCCCTGGGCTGTGACTTTGCCCCCCAGTCCTGGGCCCTCTGGGAGGCCTGGTAGCTCTCTGAGGGTTCGGACAAAGTGGCAAGCGGGTCGTCCTCTGGCTTCTAGAGATGTCTCCGGTCCAAACAAAGGGACTGCCACCAAAGAGATGGACTGTCTCCTGTTAGAAAAATAAGAGTTTATAGGGAAGCTAATGAGCTAGAAAATTGATATATTTTCAACCTGCCAGGGTAGCCGGCTCAGACGTTTTTTAAACATATTTTTTACTCTTTTGTTTTGGCAAAGCCCACAGCAGATGCGGCGTATTCTTACCAATGGTTTTCCCAGACCCGGCTCCCGCGGACCTGGCCCGGGAAGGCTGTGGCTGCGCCGGTGACTCAGAGCGAACCGGGGTCTCGGGTTCCTCCCCAGCCCAGTGCTGGCTGAGGTCTGAGCCGGGGCGCGGAGCTATGCCAAGCACGTTAGGAAAATAAACCCTCGTTCGCTGCCTTTGCAATGACTTACAACAAAAGAAACCACATTAATAACTGAGATTTTCTTGAAAGCATTCCCTCCTGTGGGCAGGGCGGAAACAGAGATGCAGACACACTGGGAAAATAAACAAAGCGGGGGAGCTGGCTGGGAGAGGGCCCCCGGCCCCGGAGGAGGAAGAGGCTGCCCACCCCGCCGGAGAGCAGGGCTGGTACCTGTTTCGGAAAACCTGGGGACCGAGCAGGTCCCCCTGCTTGCGACTGGGGTGGTAGGGAGCCTGCTGAGCAGGGGGTGGGCGGGACCCCAGGCTGGGGAAGGAGGCAGGCTGGCATCCCTTGGGGGACCTGCTCCCTGTGCCACATCTGCCACCTGACGACAGGAAGCCAAGGGTGCGTCCCTTTGGGGTGGAGACCGGCTCCCCCCACCTCACCCTCCTGGCCAGGGGAGGGCAGGCCGTGCCCAGTGGTGACCTGCAGGGACCATGCAGTTCCAGAGACTAGGGGACTTGCTTTCAATGTTTAAATTGTCTGTAGTGGTAAAATACAGTTAGATTAAAAGTTATCTTTTCTTTTTAAGGTATTTTTTTTATGAAAGACCTCTTTTTTTAAAGATTTTAGTTATTTATTTTTAGAGAGGGAAGGGAAAAAGAGAGAGAGAGAAACATCAATGTGCGGTTGCTGGGGGGGTTGTGGCCTGCAACCCAGGCATGTGCCCTGACTGGGAATCGAACCTGCAATGCTTTGGTTTGCAGCCTGCACTCAATCCACTGAGCTACGCCAGCCAGGGCAAAAGTTATCATTTTTAAGCATGTAGTCCGGGGACGTTTTAGTGCATTCACATTGTTGTTGGGCCCCCGCCACTGCCATCCACCTCCGGAACATTTTCGTTTCCCCACATTGACACTCCGTCCCCGTTGAACTCTGACTCCCCTGCCCCAGCCCCTGGCACCCACCGTCCTCCTTTCCATCCCTTTGAACTTGACACTCCGGGGACCTCCTCGTGTACGTGGACTCTCACAGTGTCTGTTCTTCTGGCTTATTTCACGGCCGCTCGGCCTCAGGGGCCGTCCGTGGGGTGGCAGGTGGCAGGACTTCCTCCCTGGGACCGGATGACACTCCGCCGTGTGGACGGGCCACACGCTGCTCCCCCCTCCCCCACCCGTGGGGGAGGCCCACCTGGGCCGTGCCCACCGTTGGCTGTCGCGCCCGATGCTGCCGTGGCCTCGGGGGTTCAGACAGCGGTTCCATCCCCGCCGGCAGCGCGTTCGGGGACACGCACCGCCCAGGAGCGGGAGTGTCGGGTCGCGTGGCCGTTCAGTCGTGCGCACTTTCTAGAGGAGCCTCCGCGCCGTCTTCCACAGCGGACGGGAGAGTTAGCGGGCCTCAGTCTCCCCGGCTCGGAAAGTGGGGGCAGTGGTGGTGGCGTCTGGGGCCGTGGGGCAGGGACACGGGAGGGACGAGGGAGGGACGCGGGAGGGACGAGGGAGGGACACGGGAGGAGGCCGCCAGGGAGAGACCAAAGGGTTTCTGCAGCACCAAGCCTTCTCATGGCACATCTGCTTTCCTCCCCTCCACCTTCTTCTCCCCTCCTTTGCCCTCCACCCGCTTCCGGGGGGCCGGGTGGGCAGAGCCACCTGCAGCGAAGGAGCCCCGGGGGAGGGGGATCAGGACCCCCAGGTTCGGGTCCTGGCTTCCGCTGTCCTCTCCGCGTGTGACCTTGGGCGCGTCACGTCGCTTCTCAGCTTCCCACCGATCACGGCCGGACCGAGCACAGGTGTTTGTGAGGGG